AAATAAATGACCAAATTGACCAAACATATCCATCAAGTTTGCATGTAGAACTACGAGTATAGTTTTAAATTACCCGAAAGAGAGCCTTCCACACTCTTATTAGACACCTGACTTTGCTCCTCCAACTGTTGCAAAAGCTTTAATGACAATGATCGACCAGTACCCTCATACCTTTAGGTGCAGCCAAAGAAAGAAGAAAGGTATTATAGGTTCTTTTTACTAATCACACCAAGATCAAAGAAAACTAGGCGCTTGTAACATGTTAAAATGAAAATTAACTAAGGTGCCGGTTGATAATCATTTTGTTTTTAAAAATTATGTTTATTTTTATACAATTTAATTAATAAGTTATTCACTTCACTTCGAAACATATTTGAATTCAAAGCAAAAACAAGTTTTTGAAAACTAAATTTTTTGGTTTTCAAAATTTGACCAAAATTTTAAAAATGCTTATAAAAGCTAAATAACAAAACAACAAGGGCCTAAGTAAATTAAAAATGAACTCACAATTAAAAAGAAACAAAGTAATACCCGTTCACAGTAGATGAAAGGAAAACCAGGTAGGGACCAAGTAACGATTTAACAACTGGCAACGGTATGGCTGCTGCTTCGTCAACAACCAACAACTCAACCTGAGAAAGCTTTTCATGCTCCTGTGGCTGTATATACTGCACAACAAAGAGAATATAAAAAGGAAAGCGATAAATATTTTCCGTATATAAATCTACCATCAGAGCCTATGATGCTGTTTCAGTAAGAAACAAGATAGGTTATTCATTATTTCCTGTTACCTAGATTACACAAGCTTGCGTTAAGCAATGGGATAAAGATGTTCTATATGCAAAAGAACAAAAGAAAAGGTCAGAGAATCAACCAACCTGAATTGTTTGTCTGTGTTGTTTGTAGATATTAATGCGCACCGTTGCTTTCTTGAATTCAGGGTTGTTACTCTTCACCACATCGAAGTCTATATGTTCCTGTAAACATGGGTAATCTCCACTTGCTTAAGATAACCAGTAACACAAATCCAAATAAGTAAGATAACCAGTATTCCCTTAAACATCACAGGGATCAGAATATAAATTTCCAAATAAGGTCTTAACTGAAAAACAATGTGACAAATTTTAGATATTGCCATTAGCCCAAGAAATATGACAGCCTGATGCTAATGAGCATGAACTCAACCAAGATATGAAATGTCATTAAAAAAGAGAGACTATCTAGCAATTACATAACAAGAAGCATAAACCACATAACAATCAAAACAGAAAACACTTGTACCTTATATTCAAGTGAATTGAGACCCTTGCAAACAAAATCGAACAATGTTTTCAAATTCTCAGGGCTGGGTGCAGTAACAAAAATATTGGAATACCTTCAAGATAAATACTCTGGTCAAAATATGAAATAATTTTAGATTTAAAAGTGCATTCTGGAAAATAGATTTTTAAAAAAAGAAGCTACCCAGCAGCAACAGCCCCAGAAATTGCTAATCCTAAAGCAGCTGATTTGCCTCGACCACGAGCAGCAAGCAATGCAACTGTACTTCGAAGTGTCTTGTCCAAAATTGCATCCAGAAATGTAACAACAGCCTTTCCCTATAAAATACAAACAAGGACACTCGCACTGTAAGTCATGGATGAGAGATACAGACAGAATTATAGACATAAACTTTAGCAGAGAAAATCTAAACCTGGTCCAGTGTACAGCATTTCTTTATAAGAGGACCAACAGGGAACTCATCACTTAGCTGTTCTTTCAGATTCTTAAGGTCCCATTCCCCTTCAGAAAGCCCCTCTGAGTCCTTTGTATAGAGGGAAAATATAGTGAGAAAATAAGAATTACAAGGACGAAAAAGTGAACTAAAGCTTCAGAGGGAAAGGAACAAGAGCAACCTCAACAAATATAGGAAGTGTATAAATTTAGAGGGAATGATGACTGATTGAAGCAAAAAACCAAATGATGATGAAACATGCAACTGTGCAAGATCGAAAAAATTAAGGTGAGAGCTCTTCTCATGTTTMCATTCTATGCATCTGTCCTCTCTTCACTAATTGCATGTTTTAAACAATCATCTTAGGTCATGGCTCTGAAGTGCTCTTTTCAAAACTGATTTTCTCATACAAAACATATTTTTGGTCGGTATGCACTTGCATCTTAGCAAAACTGGGTATTAAACCTCATGATACGCACCAATTGTCCTCATTCTCTAGTAATTCAATGAACAGTATTGTTTGGAAAAATTACTCAAGTTATAATTTCTTGTAATACAAAATCATGGTTTTACCTGTAATTTCATACATGCACAATTTTTTTTTATAGGTTTTCACATTAATATTATAATTCTGAAATTTAAAATGATATATATATATATATATATATATTCAAGCTACTCTCAGAAAATGAGCTTCATAAATTGAATGCCTTCATAAGAATAAGGACCAAAGGCAATAAGCAAATCAATTTCAAGAACCTCTATCCCTAGCTTTATAACATCATTTTCAACAATTCCACGTGTTTCCTCTTTTCCTCTCAAAATTCATGCAGCTTCTCGTTACTCAATTTTACCCAAGATCTCTATCATTATTAACTCCTGTCTCCCTCTATTGCTACTGTTTTGAGTCTCCCAATCATTAAGGCTCCTTTAAATATTAAATTAGAAGGGCATTCAAGAGCATGAAAAATGCGTAGAAGCAATGGCCAAATTTGAATGGAGGGACAATATGTATGACCAAGTAGATACTTATTAGTCCTTTGCTAGCCTTTCTAACTCATTAGAACATCTATCATAATTGAACGATAAATTAACACCATATCCAGGTAATGTCATCTTTGGCAAAGATTTTCATCAACGACATCAATTTTTTTCACACTACATTGCAAATTACAGATACAAAAATGTACCTCTTTCACTGGAACTGGAGTAATTGACCTTATATGGGAAGAAATTGGTAGTATATTCATCTCATCATCCATTAAAACGCATGCTTTGCATGATGCAAGTGACAATAAAAAGCGTTCATTAAAGCGACCAGCTGCTTCCAAATGCGATTCAGTTCGATACCTTTCATGAACATCCTGCAATCAACCATCTATGAGCTCTTTTTAAAATAATAAAGGAAGCACAACGTAGGGTATGATGACAACTATATCACAGTCTAACATGCTTATAATTGCCAACATTTATATCATAAACTAATAATTAACATTCTACTCAAAGAGTAAGACCAAACTTCGACACATAAAAAAGACACCAATATCAGAAGCAAAGTGCATGCAAAATCTTAAAGACATACTATTGTTGAATGGATATAACTCTCTACTAAAAACAGTCTACAGGGTTTCAAAGAAAAAGAAACCATCGTATGAAGATTGGAAAGCTATTACCCATGAGGCACAAACACGATACCATTCCAATCCACAACTGGAAAAAATAGTAATAATAATAAATTACATGAATTTAGACCAATCAAATATTGGAATTTATATGCAAGGATTGAGACAATTTAGATTTATTGTCTCCATATCGGATAATACTATTAACAAAACAAAAAAAAATGGTCAACATAAATGAGAAAAAGGATCGGTTAGAGTATAGTGGAGTCAACTACACATATTGATTGGATTCAAATTTCTAAAGAATGTTTGCTAGATTTACTACAGACCCTTCTGTGTAATTTATGACCTTTAATAGAACACGTTTCTCCAAATGAATGAATTCATATGCTTTCGCTAATAAAAACATTCATAGAAATACATAAACTGCATACCATGACCATTGTGTAAAGACTGGTCAATGAGGATAGGGAACGCAGCAGCAAGATTATTAACCCACCACCTTCCACTGTTTCTATAGTTCTTGCAAGGAGATTGGGGGTCAAAGCCTCAAAATCCTAATATCAGAAAATGATGGTTACAAAAAGATAAATGTGATTAAATACAGCCAAAATTAACCATGAGAAAAGCTACAAAATAAAAAATAAAAAAAGAAAAAAGAAAAAGAAAAAGTATGGAGTGGGTGATCACCTACCTGGAGTATGCACATTCCAAATGTATTACCAAGTATCCTTTCTGAATCTTTGTACAAACAGTACGTTATTCCTCCAGTTTCAAGAAAAAGAGAAAAAGGATCAACCTTTTCGGGATCCAAAAGCCCCCTCTGCATCAACTTTTTTACTTGCTTTGCACGTTTTTTTCTATGACTGTCTCAGATAATAGACCAATCAAATATCAAACACATGTTTATCTGAAAATTTCAAGTTAATAATGATAACACGAACAAAGTACAGCTCTAAGCATCAGAACCATTTTCAATGTCAAAATGAGGATTGATGTTAATTTGAAAACAATAACAAAAAAAAAAAACAAAAAAAACAATTTAAATAAATCTATAAATGATTAGTTAATTCTTTAAAGAATCAATATAAGGTTTTAACTCCTGGAAAGATGATCACAATACCTTGAGCATAAGCATATAAATTACACAACCAAATTTGAGTACCATCATATACGCTTGCCAATCGTCAAAATATCATGTCAAGTTGATCAACTATAAAAAAGACCTGTTTAAATCCCCGATATAAACAAGCCAAAAATAAAGCGTGCATAATACAGATATATGGTTACCATTTACCTAATGGATCTCTTTAGAACCAAGAAACACTTTTCATTGATAAAATGAAAAATTACATCGGTAATATCCAATGAACCAAACAATGTCTACTAAAGAACAGCAACTCGCCACCCCAATTAGTCGATGTAGGATAAACCCTTTAGTCCATGGAGTTACTTGAAACAATCGAAAGCCAAAAAGTTCAAAAGTTCCACCATTCGAGAACTAACCTGCTGAGTTCAAGTTTATCTTTATA